GCACACTATGTTAATTCCATGAAAAAGGAACTGAAAAACAGCATCCTATTATAAATAGTAAGACCTATTGAACCCAACGTGACCTAAGTCCCATGTACTTACTCATAAACCTGTGTGGGACTGTTGCCTAAAGGTAATTTTTTCTTTTAAATTTGTATTGAAAGCTAGAAAAACTTGTATGATTTTCTAATGAGACACAGGCTGCTCAGCCAAAACTAATTAGGCTTTCTCTACACTGACAAAAAAAAATCTGTTTGGCACCACACTTTCTCAGTTAGCATTGGCCCTGCAGTGATCCTGTTAATGTCACAAATATTACAAATGTAGTGAAATTGCCATAGCTGATCACACATTTCCACTAAGTACCAAACTTAGCTTACTGTTAGAGGACAGCCCACATGTCCAAATTTTCACATTATTTTCAGCCACATGGTTGTGGACCCTTTGTTTTTTGTTCCACACCATGCATGTAAATACACTTTTTTCTGTTAAGCAGAGGTGTATTCATACCAATATGAGATAGAGAGTACTAAAGCTAACAGCATTAATAAATGACAGTGGGCAGTTATGCCAGCTTGATATTTTAGTTGGTCAAGACAATTTAAGGTCTGAAGCAGTGGTATCAAACTTGTGGCCCTCTAGGTATTTTGGAATTCCTAGCAAGGTGCCTAGAGCTTCTGAGAGTTGGAGTCCCAAACATCTGGACACCTATAGCCCAAATGTTTGACACCTATAGCCCAAATAAATAAAATTAAGTACTAATACATTATCATTCATAGGCTGCACACTAGAGCCACAAACATTCAACAGTAGTTTCAATAAATCTATGCTAATTGGAACAGGAAACTGGATTTAGGCCTTAAAGCAAAATCCAGATAGCAACTTTCAGATCACAAACTGTTGGTCCTCTCAAAAGTGGTTTGAACTGAAGTGATATCCAATACAAGTTTCTAAATGTATCCATGTTTGTGCCCATTTATTTTTTTGCATTGTTCTATATTATATATTTATTTGATTGTCCATGTTCTCTAAACGGCCCACAAATCAAATGCAATACTCAAATATGACTTTTAAAATAAACCTGTATTGAAACCAAAGTACATCAGTATCTTGTGGCATCTTAAAGAATAACAACACATTTATTATGCCGTCATGTCATAAACTTGCAGTCTGCTGTTAGGTGCATGAAGTGTTTCTAAAATTACAGGTGGAGGCGTGAAATGCAGAATACGAAATCACAGAATTTAAGCTGAAAACCCTATAACAAAAACATTTTCCAGTGGTGGTGGCAAGCATAACCAGGGTGCCACTGTCAAAAAGGGAATTTCACTTGATCTGACAAGAATACTTAGAGCATATATAACCTGTGTAGAAAGCAAAGAGGCACTGCTGGCAAGTCATTGTATATATAATATTGAAAGAGAAGCCCGTGAATAAGTCACTCTAGATTACGGGAAATGGGGGATAAAGTTGACATGTGGTTTGCTGCAGCATCTGATCTGTACTTACATTAACATACTATCTAGATCTTAATCTACAGTGACATTGGCCACATGAAATCTGTTAATCTTTGAGATGCCATAAGACTGTTCTTTTCACTGCACCAATTAAAACAGCGACCATCTGGAAGTTGATGCTTAGCTGACGGTATTTACTTGAAGTCAGTGTCAATGTCATATACCTTCTAAATGTGGTTGTTGTTGTGTGCCTTCAAGTCATTTCCTAAGGTGAAGCCATCATAGGCTTTTCCTGGCTAGATTTATTCAGAAGGGGTTCACCACTGCCTTCCTACATTGGCCACCTGCTCTCCTAAATTTTGTCTTAAAAACAAAACTGGGCATGTTTTATATTTCTGAAATGATATTACACATTCCAAATTCTTAATTTAAAGACAATTTTACAGACTATTTTCATCATGAATCAAAGAACTGGAAGGGCTTCAAGGGCCAACTAGTCCATTCCTTGCCACCCAAAAATATATAACTAAAGCACTCATCCAGCAACTGTGTTGTCGAAGGCTTTCATGGCTGGAATCACTGGGTTGCTGTAAGTGTTTTGGGCTGTATGGCCATGTTCCAGAAGCATTCTCTCCTGACATTTCACCTGGATCTCTCCTGACGTTTCGCCTGCATTTTGAGGATGCCTTCCATAGATGCAGGTGAAATGTTAGGAAGAATGCTTCTGGAACATGGCCATAAACCCCGAAAAATTTACAGCAACCCATCCAACAACTGTTTAAAAACTTCCCAAATAGGAGGCAGTTTATTCAGATAGCTCTTACAGTATTTATCCTAATGTTCAAGTGGGATTTCTCTTGTAATTTGAACCCTTTGGTTTGTATTCTTGTCTCTGGACCAGCAGAACGTAATTTCATTCTACCTTCTGTATGACATCCCTTCAAACTGTTAAATATGGCTATCAAATCAGCTTTCATTCTTCTATTTTCTAAGCTAAACATACTCAGCTCCTTAAGTAGCTCCTCATGGGACTTGGCTTCCACATTTTTGATAACTTTGGTCATCCTCCTTGGACACATTCCAGCTTGTCAATATCCTCCCAGCAGAATAGGTTAGTGCTACTATATCCCATGGTCTGGATGCTATATTCTTGTTAATCAGCCTCAAATTGCATTTGCATCCTGCCACTTATTCTTATTATGCTGTATTACTTTGTTATCTGGGTTTAATCCAAATCCTGGTGACCCTATTCCCTTCATATCCACGTCCACTATCAGATGGGTAAGAAATATTCTTTTCCCCCTCTTTTTTCTTGCCCTTTCTCAGTGGTGTCAGAACAGCATGCCTTGTGAAATCACAAAAGCCTTATCTTCCAAACTCATCACTGTCTGCTCCCTGAGCTCACATTTTGACTCAAATTAAGGATCAGGATGCAACTGTTCACGCTCCTCACAATGTGTTCAGCATCTTAGAGAGTGCCTTTAAAGTTCAGATAAAACCCCGGAGCAGATTCACAACTTGAGCCCGCAGCTGACAAAACTGGCATCAAGAATATGACTGCAAACATCATACATAGGCTAATAAGAGCATTGTAGGTTGGAAACAGGAGTCCTTTAACTTCCTGTGTGCTCTTTCAAATCATCACACTAGTTGGGATGAACACTTGAATTTCATAGGGTTTTCTTAGGCAAGGAATTCTCAAAGGAGTTTATTTGCCTGAAATAGAACTAGGACAAAATGTAAGTTATAGCTTCTCTGAATGTAAGGTTGTTATTCCATAGATCAGGCATGGGCAAACTTTGGCCCTCCGGGTGTTTTGGATTTCAACTCCCAAAATTCCTAAAAGCCTACCAGCTGTTCGGAGCAACAGTTAATACTCCATAAGGCAGGAGCGAAATTCAAAACGATCTTAACAGATTAGAGAGATGGGCCAAAACTAACAAAATGAAGTTCAACAGAGACAATTGCAAGATACTCTACTTAGGCAGAAAAAATGAAATGCAAAGATATAGAATGGGGTTCGCCTGATTCAATAGCAGTATGTGTGAAAAAGATCACACATCCTTGTGGACAACCAGTTAAACATGAGCCAACAATGTGATGCGGTGGCAAAAAAGCCATTGGGATTTTGGCCTGTATAAATAGGAATATAGTGTCTAGATCCAGGAAAGTCATGCTACCCATGAACTATTCTGCCTTGGTCAGATCACATGTAGAATACTGTCCAGTTTTGGGCACCGAAATTGAAGAGAGATATTGACAAGCTGTAATGTGTCCAGAGGAGGGTGACTAAAATGATCAAGGGTCTGGAGAAAAGTCCTATGAGGAGTGGCTTAAAGACCTGGGCATGTTTAGCCTGCAGAAGAAAAGGCTTCATGATGGCCATGTATAAATATGTGAGAGGAAGTAATAGGGAGGAGGGAGCAGGCTTCTTTTCTGCTGCCCTGGAGACTAGGCACAGAGCAATGGCTTCAAACTACAGGAAAGGAGATTCCACCTGAACATGAGGACTGTGAGAGCTGTTCAGTAGTGGAACTCCATGCCTTAGAATGTGGTGGAGGCTCCTTTATTTCGAACATTTCATAGAATCAAAGAGTTGGAAGAGACCTCATGGGCCATCCAGTCCAACCCCCTGCCAAGAAGCAGGAATATTGCATTCAAATCACCCCTGACAGATGGCTATCCAGACCCTGTTTAAAAGCTTCCAAAGAAGGAGCCTCCACCACACTCCAGGGCAGAGAGTTCCACTGCTGAACGGCTCTCACAGTCAGGAAGTTCTTCCTCATGTTCAGATGGAATCTCCTTTGTAGTTTGAAGCCATTGTTCCGTGTCCTAGTCTCCAGGGCAGCAGAAAACAAGCTTGCTCCCTCCTCCCTGTGACTTCCTCTCACATATTTATACATGGCTATCATATCTCCTCTCAGCCTTCTCTTCTTCAGGCTAAACATACCCCTGGGGAGGGGGGGCTCAGGGCACCACTCATTTGAGTGTTAACCACAATCATAAAACACATTTAAAAACAGTTCATTAAAATACATTACATTAAGAAACATTTGGAGCCTTTTAAACAGATGCTGGATGGCTATCAGTCAGGGTGCGTTGAATGCAATTTCCCTGCTTCTTGGCAGGGGGTTGGACTGGATGGCCCATGAGGTCTCTTCCGATTCTATGGATTGTGGAGTGTGCTGCCTTGGATTGTAGTGGAGGTGTGTAAACAGAGGCTAGATGGCTATCTGCTGGGAGTGCTTTGTGGCTGCATGAGGTTGGATGGATTGGATGGCCCTTGGGGTCTGATCCCACTCTATGGAAGACGACAATGTGTACAAATCATGCCTTGGAGGCACACAGGTACAACAACAGCAGCCCGAGGATACTCTCCTTTTTTTTCTCTGTCTCAGCTCGGAGGCCTGAAGGAGCGCTGAAGGAGCTGGGCCGCTAGGTTGCCAAGGCGACGCGGGAGACGCGCGCGGCATCGCTAACGAACACCTCTGGCAGGGGGCGCGCGCCCGGAAGAAGAGGAGGAGGAAAAAGAGCAGGAGCAGGGCGCCCCTATCGTGGGGCGGGAGGGGGGCATGCGGAGCGCAGGCTTCACTGCCCGCCCGCCCCCGGCGCCTTCACCCTGGAGGCCATGGCTGCGTCACCCCAGCTCCCGACCATGGGCCCGCCGGCCTTCCAGTTCCGCCCGCGGCACGACAGCCCCGACTGGCGGCGGTTGAGCGCGGTGGACACGGAGCGCGTGGCGGCGGAGCTGGACCTGGCGGCGCTGCAGGAGCACCTGGGCCACGTGACCTACTGCTCGGCCGAGCGCGAGCGCTGCCCGCACTGCGGGGCCCCGCTGGACCCGCTCCTGCTGCGCCTCCTGCGCCTGGCCCAGCTTGGCCTCGAGTACCTGCTCCACTCCCAGGACTGGCTGGCCGCCCAGCTGCGCCTCGCCCGCGCGCGCGCAGAGCGCCTCGACCAGGACTTGGCCCGCGCCGCCCAGCAGGCGCGCGCCCTCAAGGAGGAGGGGCGCCGCCGGAAGAAGGCCCTGGCCGCCCTCCAGCAGGCCCTCGCCCACGCCGCCGGCCCCGCCCACCCTCACCCCCACCAGGTGAGCCACGCCCCCTCCAGCCCTGAGCGGGCCCTACCTAGGCCCTGGGCGGAAAGACCGAGGTGGAAGGGGCCAGGGGATACCCCCCAAGGCTGCGTTTCAGAGGAAGGAATGGGCAAAACCACCTGTGAGTAGTTTCCAAGATAAAGGCAGTTCTTGGATGCTACTCAGTGCTTGGGTGGGACATCCCCAATGAATACCAGGTGTCATAACCCGGTAGTTCCTGACCACTTTGAGCAGAGACCACTCTCCAACATTAGCACCAAAAGGGTTATAAATCGGTTTTTGGTCAACTTTAGATTCTGATTGGTTACTTGGGGTGCTGATTGAGAAAATTGCACAGGATAGACCACATCAGCTCTAGTTTCTGATACAGAACATATGCCATCCTGTAATCGCCATCTGCTCACCCACAGAAAACCATATTTAATAATCTTGAGCTGATGTGGTAATAGTAATCTTTTGTGGGTAGTCAGCTTCTCCTCTCCTGACATCCCTGATGCCTTAGTACTATAAGAGGGTTTTGCGAGGCCAATTGCTCTCGTCGTGTGGTTTTGAGGTAACAGTGTCATACAGAACATATGCCATCCAGTAGTCACCATCTGCTCGCCAACATATTTAATAATCTATAGCTGTTGTTGTCTTATCCAATGCAATTTTCTGAATCAGCACCCCAAATAACCCCAGGAACAGATCTAAAACCAAAAACAATAAGCCACCCTTGCTTCCAGGTGCCACATGGGGAAGGGGGGAGGAGGAAGAGAAGCAGCAGTCAGGAGTCTTGTTGTGCCTTTTGTGGGTAGCCAGCCTGTCCTCTCCCTACATCCCTGTTGCCTTGGCACTATAAGAGGGTTTCGCGAGACCAGTCGCTCTCGTTGCAACAGTGTAATGGTGAGACCGGAGACCATATTTTAGTTTTTGCAGATCACTGGTGTTTCATGGACCACAGGTTAGGAACTACTGCCATAAGCTATATTTCAGAGGAAGGAACTGACAAATCCACCTTGCCTAAGACAACCCAATATGGATTTCTGTTTCCTCACCTGTAAGGTATTCATTGGTTATTTCCCATCCAAGGACTGATCTTGGAAGCTAAGCAGAGTTGATCCCGGTCAGTACTTAGATGGAAGATACATCATTGAGTACCAGATCAGTTGGACAGTATTTCAGAGGAAGTGTGCCGTCGCGCCTGGGGCTATAGAGAAAGGCATGGACGTGACTGCTTTCCCCAGGGGATTGCTTTCTTGCCCTCCTTTAGGGAAACTGGAACTCCCAAGGACCAGAACACAACAGTTAACTCGAAATGATGTTTATTGTTAACAGTTCTCTTTCTTTGACACAAACTTTATGTTTCAACTGGGAAAAGATACTTTATAAACTCTAAGTCCAGGGTCCCAGGAGTAATAAGCTGAGAAGCTTTTCCGGTTCCCTCTCTCTCAATGGCTATGGATGCCGGAGCAAACCACAACCCCAGTTCAGTGGCCTAAATTGAAGGACAAGACCTTCCTATGGTGCCACAGAACCGGTGTGAAGGCGCCTGAGATCTTCACAATTCTATTCAGGGTGGTCTGAACATAAAGAATAAGACTCAGGGGAAATAAACCTAAGAACTGATAGTAAAAAATGCCTTGACCAGGGGCTTTTGGGCCAAGCTTTTGGACACGTCCATCCAATGAGTCTTTTACTGAGGTAAAAAGGGTGAGGGAGAAACCTTCCCTTTCTCCCTTGGAAGGGGCGGAGCCTAAACAACAAAACTAGGGAAACAAGCCAATTGGTGCACAACAACAATAAATTGACAGCTATAGTAACCAATGAAATTTAACTATACATGTACAAGGTAGACAGAAATAAAATGGCAGTTTAAATCCTGCAACTAACAGCTCTAAATATATGAGGCGCCACACGCGCCGTCACACTCCCGGCCTAGATTTCCGGACTTTCGGATATCTAAACAAAATAAAGTTAAACACCTTTAACTATTATAACTTTAAGACTGTATGTCTTGCAAAAATATCAGGTTTTTTAAACACAGGATCTAATCTTTGCTCTCTTTAGTCTACCTTCAACCCTAAGGAGACCCTCATTGTCCAGGAAGGGGTTCAAGTCCTTTAACAACTATTTTTGGGCAAGGCAACCTTTTTGTTGGAAACAACCTTAACTTGGGCCTTGCGCACTCTATTGTCCGAGCTAGGATATAACTTAGAAACAAAACCCTTAGCCCATTGGTATCTGGGAGTGTCTTTTTCTTTTAAGTTATTTCTTCTGAGAAACAATGTCTTTGAGTGGATCTCAGGATGACTGTTGAGGCTTTAGAAAGATATTGGGGCTGAATTGCACCAATGTTTTGCTGAATTGCGCCAATGTTTTTGGTAGTGACACTTCTTCAATGTTGGGGACAAGAGAAGGCTCATCCATGTCTTTAGTGAGGTCTTCCTGCTCTTCTTCACGGTAACCATGCTTGGATTTGGTGTAAGGAATAGAAGGCCCTTTCTCGGCATTCTTCTTTTTAGCTTCTGGAGTTGGTGAAGGGGAGGGAGAACGCTTCCTTTTCTTATAGTTCCGTCCCTTCTTGTCCTGCCGGTCTGAATCAGGGCTGTTAACCTCATCAGTGAGAGTTTTGGCAGATATTTTCTTCCTACGTGAGACAGGACTCTTCTCATCATTGACTTGCCCTTGAAGCATGTAGTATTCTCCCATTTCATCAGGCGGCCATTTGTACTCTATCAGGTTTTCTGCTGGAAAGTAGCTAAAGCTAAGATCTTGGCTTGAAGTTTCACAACTTCGTGAACTGTCCCCTGAGCCCATTCGTCGTCTTTTAGATGGTTGGCTGCCATCGTTTGAATTTTCTTCAGTAACATCCTTGAGGGACTGGGCTCCAGGTGTGGCCGGGTCGCTGTCACACACCCGTGGGGACAGAACGGCCGTCATCACCGCCGACGGCTGTGGCGAGAAAGGTCCACCATCGGCCTCTTCCTTCTCCTCCGCACACGCAGTGGCTGGTTCGGCATAGTTGCTGCTGAAGAGGTCTTCTACAAACTGGGTGATCTGGGTCTTCACCTTTGGATCCTTCAGCATCCTCCTTCTTAAGGACAGGAGACGATGAAGGGAAACATCTCTGTTGTTGGGTAGAGATGGTCTTTCCGGCTTGAAAGGTAAAGGTGCTATCCAATTACCTTGGAGGTCTTGAGTGACTTGGTGGTTCATCATCTCAAGGAACTTCTGTTCATCTTTAGAGAAGGCTGTTTGCTCATCTCTCTCTGTGACTTCGAAGATGGAAGAATAATCAGGCATTACTCCCTGGCAACAAACTGTGATGTGGCTGGCACATCCTTGCATTAGTGAAGGTCTTTTAGTGACAGGCTGGAACATCTTGTTCAGGCAGACTGGGCCTAACACCGTCCATCCTAAAGGCAACTTCTGGGCAATGGGTGATCCCTTAGGACCTTCAATCTGTTTGCTAATACGGAACAGTATGGGGCAATCTGCGCCGATAAGCGTGACGATGTCTGTTTCCAAGTCTAGAGCTGGAATTAGATCTTGGATGCCTTTGAGATGAGGATGGGCTTGAACCACCTCCTTTGTGGCTATTTGTTCTTTGTTCCTGGGGATCAGGCTGCATTCTATAAGGTCAGGAAGTTCGTAACTGGCCTTTTGTCCAAAGGGTGAAATTTTGAACCTAGTTGCAACTCTGCCACACATCTTGTTCCTTCCAGAGCAAGTGGATATGGTGTATTGCACTGTCTTGGTGTAAAGGTCGAACATGTCGAAGAACTCGGGGGTTGCAAGCGATGCATCACTTTGGGCATCCAGGGCGATGTAGACCTTTTTCCTATTCCACGGCTGCTTGTCTGGATACACTTCTGCCAGGCAGATTGGATGACAAATCCTGGGCTTGATGTTATTTTGGCAAAGCTTGGTACAGGCAACGGCAGGAGCCTTGAGGGCTACTNTCGAAGAACTCTGGGGTTGCAAGCGATGCATCACTTTGGGCATCCAGGGCGACGTAGACCTTTTTCCTATTCCACGGCTGCTTGTCTGGATACACTTCTGCCAGGCAGATAGGATGACAAATCCTGGGCTTGATGTTATTTTGACAAAGCTTGGTGCAGGCAACGGCAGGAGCTTTGAGGGCTACCTGAGGTTCTGTAGAATTTTGGTCCTTCACTTCTTTGGTCTCTTCTTTGACAGGGGACTTTGTATTTGCTTTGAGTTGAGGGGAATCAAAATTATGCATTGCAGAGCAATGCTTGAGGCTGTTGCAATGTTGACATTTCACCTTTTCTTTACAGTCTTTGGAGAAGTGAATAGTGGAGCCGCAACATCTGAAGCACACCTTGGCCTTTTGAACTACTTGAAGCCGCTCTTTATAGGGCTTCTTCGTGAACTCTCTGCATTCAGCTAGGCTGTGTGGCCTCTGATGAATGGGACAGGTGATGCTGCTGTTGCCAACTGATTGAACTGAAGGTGGAGGAGTAGTGTCTGTCATCTTGACACTCAAGTTCCTTTTAAGTTCTTTGCCCTGCACTTTGTCTTCTTTGGAGGTCTTTTCAGGCTTTAGGCCTTGGTACAAAGCGGGAAGACCTGTTTGAGGGTCATTCCTCTCACGGGCTGCTCTGGTGACAAAATCCACCAAAAAGTTGAAGGGCGGATATACATTTGCATTTGCCTCCTTGTACTTGAACACCTCTTTTCCCCAAGCTTCTCGAAGGGGAAAAGGAAGTTTGCAGAGAATGGCACTCTGCGATGTGTGCTGGTCCAGACATGCCAATCCTGGCAGCTCTGGATTTTCTTTGGCTGAAGCTAGCTCTAACAAAAGATCACTGAAGTCCCAAAGCTGTTTGTAATCTTTCATCTTCAATGATGGGAACCTGTTGAGTCGATCCATGAGGGATGCTTCTATCTCAGTGCTCGAACCGTAGCGCTGGTCCAAGCGAGACCACGCTGTGGACAATGCTTTTTGAGGGTCTGACACGTGAGCAGCATAGAGCCTCTTTACTTGC